CACACACACACACACACACACACACACACACACACACACACACTTTGAAAGACACTACCAACCAGAGCACAGAGGATGGCAATTCCATCCTGTGGTACTTCTGAGGTTTTGCAATTGGTTTTGTTCCACGTTGGAACGAAAGCATCTTTCTGAAAACACACTGTTGTGTTTTCGTTCTATAGCCTGGTGGTTAGGGTGCTGGTGGGGGATGTGGGAGACTCAGGTTTAAGTCTTTGCTCTGCCTGAATTACAGCAGAGCTCTTCGTCCCCAATTCCTCTGATTCAGGCAAAACGAGGACTTGAACCTGGGTCTAAAAGATTCCAAGGCAGACTCCCAACCCATCTACAGCGAGGGTGTCCTGCTCTCTCACAAAACCGAACTATCTCCACAAAATAATTTGGCTTTGACAAAACTGGATATTTTGCTCAAAAAAATAAAAATAAATTTAAAAAATTACTTCGAAGAAAGTTATTAACAGATTATTAAAACTAAGATTAGAGGGGGAAATGTGTCTGTCTCTATTCTTTCTACTCCGTGCATTTGCCTGCAGTTTTTGTATATAGTCCATTTCGGTGTTTCTCCAGTCAGTCATTTCCCCACTTTTGTGTGGATCTTCCATCCAGCAAACAGAGAGAGATTTTTTTTGTTTTACACCAGAGAAATATGCAAGAGCATAAACCACAAAATTTGGCTGTGGGCACTGAAAGGCAGTTGTAGAACCTGAAATTATTTTGAACTCTCTTTCTTATAGTGACTGTGTTCATGTGCCCCTTTAACACAAAAACTCAGCTCTATTCAAATAAGCAGCAGCAACATTGCCAGCAACGATCACTGTGAAGGACTTGAGTCATTCTCGCCTGGCTGATCATAACATTCTCGCGGAAATACATTAACTATGTAATTCTCCTTTGCATCAAGAAATAACCAAGGGAATAAACAGTGTAGAAGAAGAAGAAAAAGAAAAGATGCCACCAAAGAAACAGTCACACCTTGAGAATAACTTGGTTTTGAATCTGTAACAAAAGGATAATCGAAATTTGCACAGAGCATTTATTCAGACGCTAGCTTTCAAAGTGTTCAAATGAACTTACTCTTTAAAACCCTAAACTCTCTGAAAAGATGAGACAACACACCAAGGAAATAAGTATGATTCCCTTAGCACGTGCAAAGGCACTACAAACACTGTCCCATTCAGAGAACCTCAAACAGGCAAATTATTGGAGGCTGGTAACAAAGGCTTTATGTTCATTGACATCATAGGTCTACCCAATCAAACTTTGATTTTATATCAGCTTGGGTTTCTTTTAAGCCCGTTTTGGTCAAATGTGCGTTTTTGACGTGATCACTGATAAGGAATCTATCACCCACCAGATGGGAGTGCACACCCTGTGGTACAAGCAGCTCTAAGTCATACCATCTACTATAAAGTGTGTTGTGGAACCTAGGCTGAAAAAGTGTGCATCTCTCTTTCAACATGTAGAAGAAAGCTGGAGATTATCAGAAGCTAGATGTTATCCATTCACTTCAAGGAAAAGGACAACGAACTTTGCTTAACCAGTAAATCAGCAATATGGCTGCCAAATCTCTTAGTCACACCACAAACTACCGCAAGCAGTGGTTCTTTCATCCCTGATAATACCACAGCTGCTGCTTTATAAATGGCTGATACTTACAATTGGGGCGTTTTGTAAGCCGGCTATGCAGAACACCTGACCCATCTACTTACCTGTTTCTTGCCCATCTCTTGCACTCCAGTTTTATGGTTCAAACTCACCCACCCACCTCCCCCTGCACAACTTCAAATGAAGTCAGAATTTGAAGCTTACCTGCTCTTTGTCAGGTTTGTCAGAGATGTCATTCAGACTGGTGGAAGTCAGGTTTCTATGAGTCATGGCTGGACTGCCTGTAAGGACAAGGTCAATACCAGTTAAGGCATCTGTTACAACCCAGCAAAAAGGACACAGAGGGCCTGGCTATAGCATTACCTTCCAAAGGGCTGCATAAGGCGGGCAGGGTAGTGGGCCAAACTGGAAAAATTGTAGAGCCAGATACAGCGTGCTTTATGGAGTTCAAAGTTGCAAAGGGGATAGAAGGAAACTAAAGATTCATAGTATCTGGTCCACAAAATTCCCACACTAAGGGCTTGTCTACACTACCGCATGGGGTCGATCTAAGATACGCAACTTCAGCTACATGAATAGCGTAGCTGAAGTCAACATACTTAGATCTACTTACAGCAGCGTCTTCATTGCGGTAAGTCGACAGCTGATGCTCTCCCGTCGACTCCGCTTGCGCTCCTTCTTCTGGTGGAGTACCAGAGTCAACGGGAGAGCGCTCAGTGGTTGATAAAAATCGACCCCCGCTGGATCGATTGCTGCCCACTGTTCTGGCGGGTAGTGTAGACACGCCCTCAGTATGAAACAGAAATAAAATAAAGTTTAAGGTACTTCCAAAAAACAGAGTTTGAGCGCTGCTCCTGGACATGTTTGACAGGTAACCCTTCCTACACTAGTCCCCCCCCAGTTAAGAGAATAGGAAGCTTTCTAAGTAAGCTGACAGAACAGCTGGTTTAATCAACACTGCATACTGGGAGCTTGTCTATAGTATCAGCTGATGCTGTTTAGAAGAAATTACTTTTCTTCCAATTACCTTGTTAACTGACCCTCCCTGTCAACCATAGGCTAATTCTGAGACTGCTGAACAGAAGAGACAAAACTATCTGCACATCAACTTGGTGTAAACCACTGTCATCAATAGGATCGCAGACTGAAATTAACCAAAAGACAGAGACCAAAAGTTTAAATAGGTGGACTTAACCTTTCTTTCAAAGAAGCGATTGACAAGATATACACTACTCAGCCTTAAAATGTCAGTAAAGTAACCTAGCAGACCTCAAGGCAGCAAAGCCAGATAGTAATTGTGTGCAAGCTTATGGACAATTATTCCCATTGAACCTTTATGTTTTCAGACACTGCGGCAGAGAGGAGGAAATAACTTGGAAAAATAAAAAGCAACCAAACCTTCATTCATTTCTAAAATTCTATTAGAACCCTTAAATTTTTTATTTAAAAAAACCCCACACACAGGAACAGTCATAACTACAAGAAGAAGAAAAAAAAAAATCAAACAGTGGCCAAAGAGAGACATTGACGACAAATATAATACCCTCAATCTGAAAGGCATGTCAGTTTCCGAGTATGCACTTTTTATGGTTCTGAAATTTTAGGATACTTTCTCTGTGACTTCTGCTGGAACCAGAAGTTCTGACATACAGCAAGAGAGCCTCTTATCACAGATTTTTCTAGTCATGACCAGAAGTAGAGCTACAGAAAAATCTCAAAGAGTTGCTGTGAGATTTCCCAATCAAGTTTTCAGACTCTATGTTGGGATATGTCTCAAAATAAGCTTCTTAATTTATGGAGGTTTGTTCAAACTAAAATCCAAAAGCCAGGCTTCCAAAAGAGATCAGTACCGAGCAGCTCCCACTGTTCTCACTGGAAGCGAGCACTCTGTGAAAACCTGGTTACTCCATTCAGGTGCACAACTAGGAACTGAGCTCTTTTGAAAATCTACTCCTAATGTTACGATGTTCAGCCACCTTTGCACTGCTGGAGATATAACTCAGGTGCCAAGATTGGTAAGCCACTGGCACCTTTTGTTAAGGCAACAACACTGCTCTCAAGCCCCCCTTTCTGATAAGGAATTCAATTAAAAACTTCTGGGGCGCAAGTGATATTATGGCAACAATTTGTATCATCTTCCAATAAGTATATATCTTCCGTGACACTGAAGTGGTGCAAATTAAACAAAATCCAGGGTCCTTGAACATGTCTACCTAACTTACTTATCCAGGAGGGGGACCAGCAGATTGCTATTCTGATCTTCCCAAATTTCATCAATTTAAATGACTTTCAGTAGGGATTTCCTAGAGGGCCTATCAGAGGGTCTCCAGTGCTTAGGGAAGTTCCAATTTACTTTCCTTTTTATCTCCATCGTTAACCTTACTTGTGCATACAGCATGCACATACATATACCTCCCCTTTTAAGATGAGGTTGTCGATACATATTGAGACAGCTTCCAAGTAATCAAAAGGGTTTGGACTCACTGGGAGGAAAGTAAATGGACAGACTCAATGTATTATTTTCCTGATTCAGTTTTAATTACAATATTCACAGGGTTCAGCATTACTCTGAACAAGAATGGCTAAAGAACAGTAGTAAGCAGCTGAGCTTGGATAGATGCTATGCGAGGAGACCTGCAAACTTCCTCCCATCATCCAAGCCAACCTTATGCAAAAATTTCCCAGAGTGGCTACATGTCAGGTGGGAAATTACATGTCTGAGACCAGTTACGTGCAGCCTCAAATGTTCCCTGGTTTCAGTATGCCAACCTTAGTGGTGCCCCTAAAGTTTCAGTAAAGTATCTGATTTGTGCTTTGTGTATGTGTGATACATGATAAAAAAATTTCATAGGGGGTAAAAATCCATCAAATTTGCCTGTCAGCATATTTGCATCTATTCTACAATATATACCTTGCTTTGTGTTTCTGAAAACAACCTTCCTCATTTTGAACAGAATGTAAAGAAATATTTGCCACAGAGCATAGAGGAAATGGAGAAGCAAAATAAGGCTGGATTCTTTAAATCCTGTAGTGCATTATTAAAACCCAGTGATTTTTCTTCTTGCATTTAGTTGATTCGTTAGTTTTTAAAAGTTACAGACAGGCTGCCAATTCTTGGGCATTTTTTTAATATATGTACATAATGTACATATGGGTTAAAAAGAAAACAATAGAACTGCCTGGAGAAGCATGGAGGGGAGTTTTGCAAATCTGAAATCAAATAAAGACACGGGAAGGCTATTTTTTTTTTTGTAAATATAGAACTTGTTCAAACCAATAATTGGTATCACACAGCTGGGTGAATTGAAGCAAAAGGTTCCTATTGAGTGTCCTTTCCTATTATTAAATGAGAGATGAAACAGACAATATTGACTACAGCTGAGCTAAACAGCTTTGAAGAAGTTCACATACCTTCAAAGATGGGAATGCTCATGGGTAGGGCACAATTGCTGTATCCCACATTTACCACCTACCCATTGCTATTGGGCTGGGTAGTTTGGGCTGCTCGTTGGATGCAGCAGCATACAGGGAGATGTTGGGATTGATTTCTCATTGTCCAAGGAGCTTTTCTTCTTGTCATATGATCTCCAAATCTTGGCAGTGTCTGCAGCCATGTCATATGGTCACAGAGGCCACTACACGAGTGGCTTCAAGTTTAAAAAACAAAAACAAAAAAGAAAACTTTGCGGGGGGACCTAGAAACTTGCCAATTGCTTTATTTAAAACAATGTTCCAAGCTGTTTTAAACACATTTGAGAGTATTCAGAAGAGTTTTGGAGCCGGCTTGTGCTGTGCTGCTATGGGGAAGGCTATTTGCTGAAGGTGTAATTCCATTTTCTGTTGACTGCGCTGGCAAAAAAAGATGGTCCTGTTGATGAACTAACATCTGGATTTCTAGCTCCAAATCTCGACTGGGCCACACATGGACTGAGTCAGGCCATTTCCAGCTACTCACCAATAGATATCTGTCCACATCACAAAATTTGGTGGGATCTTTCTTATGAGATGCCCAAGACTGAACTAACATGCCTGGAATGCTGTATTTTAGGTTAATAGATTCACAGATTATATGGCCAGAAGGCACCACTGTGATCACCCAAGGCTGACCTCCTGTATAACTCAGGCCATAGAATTTCCCTGAATTAATTCCTGTTTGAACCTTAGCAGAGCTTTCAGGAAAACATCCACTCTTGATTTATGATTGAAGTACATCAGTAGAAAACTGTTAATCCAATGGGATAAGTGAACTCCAGAGCAGAGGGGCTCTCCAAAAAAAACAAAAAAAAAACAAAAAAAAAACCCTGCCCTTCCAGCTACCGCTCATATTGCTAGTGAGGGGCCTTCAGATCAAACGCAGCATCACAGTAACTGCACTATGTTTCCTCCAATTGAAACTTTTCAAAAGGGGCTCTGTGATCCTGGTCTTAGGGGCCAAAGTCCCACTGAGTTCAGAGGGGAAGGAAGTGACCCTAAAGAAAAGGCCATATTCTGTATCACCTTCTGTTTCTGAGATGTAGAGCTGTACCCATCTCAGCTGTAACTATGGCATCGCTACTTGCGATGCTATAATGACTTACTTTAGCCAGAAACTAAGTCCAGACATTCTACTAACCGCTGTGAAAAATAAATAGGTTTAACCCTGGCATTTCTGTTTCAGGCAGAAAGGCTTTCACCTTCCAACAAAATGAAATGCAGGTAGTTCAATCTTTAGTTGGCTAACCTCAGTGTTAAAGATGAGCCAACAGTCACAGCTGGAAAACAAGAGACCATAAAACAACCATTTACTCTAAAGCTCAAGTGTGAACTCTTGTTTTTAATGTTTATGGCTGTACATTTATCCGATTTTACGTTTATGAATCCTTTTTAATGGGGACTGAACGCCTGATCCTGCTAGCACATCACTCTGCATTTTGTAACACAGCAGCTAGTGCACTTTGCATGCACAGCTGCTCCCAACACCTTCACACTCATTCCCATCCCAACCCACTGGATATCAGGGGAAAGATTTAACCCTAATTCCCTACATTTTCAAAACACTGCAGGGGAGGAAGCTACACCAGTCCTTTCTCTTGACTTTCAGTAACAGCCACGTGGCTAAATCACCAGCTACTTTTGGAAATTTAGGAGCAACAGGTGTTGGAAATACTAAGCGCACAAGAAACCGGACTCCTGAATTCAGACTCTCACTGAGAACTGACCCTAAAGGAGCATGAAGATAGTTTGAACAGATAGCCACAAATAGGTTCTTAGATCTCGAATCTTCTTTTAAAGGAACACTGTATGAAGGGCAAGTGTCATCTTCAGGTTAACTCCTCATGCCTCTCTTTTTTCAAGAGAGTCACAATTCCTTGAGTTTCCTCATAGATAAGACGACTTGAGTGCAGGAGGTAAAGGGCAACATTCAGTCCTGATATGAGCAGCTATCACTCCTAATTATCCCTGGGTCTTTAATGATGAAACACACTACCGGTCAAATTTAGGCCTATTTTTTCTATCTTCACTTGGCACAACAAGCTACAAAGTCTTCACTCACTGTTCTGTTCACCTTTAGATCTGCATATCAGAGCCTAAGGAAGTGCCTGTAGCTGATGGGATGTGATGTGAGCTTCTCACAATCCTGACTGAATACAGCTGCCAGGTATAGATGACGCACATCTTCAGCTCCTTTTGGCCACCTGCCCGAGGCAGAATATAGGCTCCAACACCTTGAGCTTGCAACACTTTGCAAGTTTCACATCCACGCACCACAGTCTTCCAAGACATTTTATAAGCATTGGTGTCCAACTCTGGGACAAGGTCTTCAGTTCAGGCCAGGCTCAAATGAGCACTCTCTGCACTGGCTTCTTCAGAGCATGGATGGGAAGCTGCAAGCATTGTATCTCTACCAGTTGAGCTGACCCTAAGAACTCCATCCCAGCATGCACTGCCCTGTTTTTAGAAGTTACCCAAAGGCCTCTAAATACAAGACGACTGCTGGGCAATGTGGCATGGGTGCTTCAGGACTCCCAGAACGGCATAACAGATGCAGCTTGTATGGACCTGACCACATTTCTCTGACAAAAAAACAGTATTGCTGCACGGACTGTCGCAAAGACAAGCAAGACAATCCACCGTTTCATGCAATCAGTGCCACTGCAACTGCTTCTTGTGTGAATGTAACAATATCCCCACCGTGGCAGGCTCACTGCATTAGAGACTGCCAGGGAGAGGTTATGGGGGTATCACAATGCTACCAAAACCTCCCTTGCACACACGGAACCAGCAAAGGGCCAGGCTTACCCAAAAAGTGAGCAGGGCCATGGTGACACGACCCTGGTCAGCAGGGCAATGTGTGGATTCAGCGTCTCCCCTCCTCCACATCTTCCACTGGCCAGCCTCCTGTAAAATCCCCAGTGGAAGCTGAAGTTGCTCTTCCCCAGAGGAACCCCTAAGAGGAAGCAGCAGTAGGGACTCCAATTTCTCATCCATCCACACTTAAGTATAAGCATGACTTGCTGGTTCAGGGAGCTGCAGTTTCTAGTTTGCACCTCCCGACTCCAACTGGGGTGACCCTGACCTCAAGTCACCAAAGATCTTTAAGCCGAACTTTACTTATCCTTGAGCTAAGATCCCATTTCCTACAGGCTGTTTTTCCAGTACTGGCAGGAGTTACATCTAGGAATTTTTCCATAGGCTCACCAAAAAAAAAAAAAGCATGTTTCCTTGTGGGAAAAACCAAACTGTAAGATATGAATGGTGTCACTTGCTACAAGAAAGAAAAATGCATACTAAAGAGAGGAAAGGACTAGTGGCGAGCCGTGGAGAGGGAAGAGAAGAAGAAATATGGTTTATAAGACAAGCAAGCAAAAAACTAGAAGCACTTAAATGGCCTTGTGTTAAAGTGTGCAACTAAAAAGCGGACCCACCTAACATGCAGACATCATCAACAGCTGGAGAAATACAAACTTGAGTAGATTCTGTTAGTAGCATGTGGCATCCTTGCTAAACAACGTTGCCACAAAAGCTGGGATGGCCAGAGGCAGTTTTTTACAAGATAAAATGGTTTTACCACCCCATGAAAAACTAGTTAGTCCCAGTTGAAGGCATTTTTTTAAATAAAGCTGTTTCATTACACGCACCCCATTACATGTAATTTTAGTTACATATTCAAATTGTGGTTACATAAGGCAGTAGATTCATCGATTTTATTTGTACAACCCTAAATTAAAGTACAACTGCAGTGGGTGTACTGCTAATATATGTAATTATTATACCGAACATCAGAATGTCTGCATATATTTGGCTCGGTATTTTCCTCAAAGAAGGTATACATGTCATGACTCATTTCCGTTTTCAATATTATATAAAAAAGTCAAAAACATCTGGTTATATGAACCTGACAGTAATGCAGAGGAGTAGGCTTTAAGCACTAAGCAATCAGAAGGAGGCAAATTTGCAGACTGCCAGTCCAGGTCCACTTGGCCACGCAGTATTCTGTAGCAGAAGACCAACTTTGATGTAGTGGATAGACTGAGCCTATTCCTCAGTTTTGAATGGATGTATCCAAAGTTTGAAAAGATTCATTCCGTGCTTGTTGAACACTGATGCCACCCTTTCCTCCCCTCCCCCCGCATTTCCCAGTTTAAACCAGATGTAAGCCGGTATTTACCAGCACTCTGTCCTAAACTAGTTTTTCCTGGGAAATTGCCAACACTGCACAGAAGTTCCATGGTTTTGTGTCAACCAAAAAGAAATGGAGCCCTAGAGATTGCTTTAAAATGACCATGTGCCAGACCTGAACTAACACAATGTTATTCATACCCAGTGGTGTCCTGCTACTGAAATAAATACAATATAGAGGCAATGTGCTAGAAACTCTAGCAGCACTGTCTCAGAAGAAGAGAGAAAGAACAGAAAATGGAGGAGGGGGGGATTTAACCATCAGGAGCCCAGCTAATACGCTGCTCAGATGCAAGTAAAGCAGAGTCTGGGAGCAGAGAAACAAGAAACCATGCTGTGTCAATCCTCAGAAGCGCACTCTTCTATGCAATTAGATGGGGGGAAAGAATTTCTGCATTAGAGTCCTAATTCAGCAAAGCACTGAAGAACATGCTTATCTTAAAGTACGTGCCACATATGCTTAAGTGCTCTGCTAAATAGGAATAATTTCCTGAATATGGGCCAAGTCACCTCACCATATCTGTGATATCAGTAATGTTACCCCTTGGATTTATACAATCAGATGCTAGCACAAAAAATAAACCAATCAAAACCTCTTCAACTTGACATTTCTTTCTACTAATAAACTGTATAATTACCTTTTATTGTTCTGACAACTTAATATTCACGATTCAAACATTTGATGATTACTAAAAACAACTATGGCTTTGTAAAGGGCCCGATGCTATCATCCTTGTATTGATGGTACCTTGCTCTGAAAACAGTTGAACTGAAATCAGCAAGACAACATGAGGAACAGTGGTAGGAACAGGCCCTGAACAAAGCTCAACTCATCACTGAACAATACATTTGGTGAGTTTTGCCAGCTCTGTGGTATATGGAAACCTACATAGATGCAGATTTCATTTGTAAAGAACCGAAATTCAACTTTGCATTTGTAATACATTGTACAACTGGCAAACCTTGTTAAAAACTTCCTTAATAATATCAGATATTTAAATACATAAATAACAGGTAACTTACTAAATTTAATTCCTCAGTAATAGCAGCTTTGAGGGATCGGTAATGAGATTATGGGGCCTTTCACCCGTAGTTTGACAATCTGACTTTGTTCCAGACCGGAAGCTGTTACTATGTGTTGGCTGTTTAGTGACCTAGTGAATGAGTTGATAGTCTTGGTCTGGTCCCAAGTAGGAAGGGGTCTCAATCAAAAAACCACGACATTCATTGCCTCTCATTGATAATTTCACTGGCTGACTTAGAAGAGAGACAAGAGTCTGAATGGGAATGGAACCTGAACTACCCTTTCACCACTAGAGGATGGAACTTTGAGAAAAGAGCAGGAAACACTGTTGGGGCATCCCAGGGTCACATGAACACCTATCGCTGTATCTAGTCCAGGGGTAGGCAACCTATGGCACATGTGCCGAAGGCGGCACATGAGCTGATTTTCAGTGGCACTCACACTGTCCTGGTCCTGGCCACCGGTCCGGGGGCTCTGCATTTTAATTTAAATTTTAAATGAAGCTTCTTAAATATTTTAAAAACCTTATTTACTTTACATACAACAATAGTTTAGTTATATATTATAGACTTATAGAAAGAGACCTTCTAAAAACATTAATGTATTGCTGGCATGCAAAACCTTAAATTAGAGTGAATAAATGAATTCACACCACTTCTCAAAGGTTGCTGACCCCTGATCTAGTCTATGCAGAGCGGATTTCCAATCTCTCTGGCTATTACTATGGTAGTGCATATTTAAGAATGTTAACTGCTAAGTGTTCCCCCTTTCTATGTTTCTCCAAACTAACCTATTCATCTAGGATGACCAGATGTCCCAATTTTATAGGGACAGTCCCGATTTTGGGGTCATTTTCTTATATAGGCTCCTATTACTCCCACCCCCATCCCGATTTTTCACATTTGCTGTCTGGTCACCCTATATTCACCTGCAGTGGCTCTGCCCTCCTCCCCACATCCCCAATCATTGACTTACTTAGCCATCCCACGCTGGGGCTGCGCTGCACTCGGATTTCATCATCCAACGTGCGGGTTGCTAGGCAGGGCACAGAACTCTCAAGTGGGCTGCGTGCTTTAGTGTTGAAAGCAGAAGACAGAGCAGGAGACGATAGCAGCAGCGAGGAGGAGGAAGAGAGCAAAGTTAAGTAGTAAAAAAAACTGAAGAAAAAAAGCTAAAGCAATTGCACAAGCAAGTTAGGAAAGACAGTGTTCGAACATTCACTTTGTTAAACACACAAACCCACCTCTCCACACAGCAACATTGTTCTGGGAATAGCTCTTGGGAGGGCATGAAAAACCCCATTCCAATTTCACTCTTCAGCACTTGGGCACCGTGTCTTGTAGGTTAATATATACTGGTCAAAAATGTTAAGCCTGGGGGCCTAAAGTTAAGCATCAAATCCAAATTCATTTACCTAAGTAGAAGTAGCCTGAATTACAGAGCAGCCCCAGTTCCCAGTGGAATCAATAGGAGCTGCAAGTGGCCAGCATCTATGAAAAATTAATCCGTTCTCTTTAGGAGCCCAGCTTTGAAAATCTTGGCCACTGCACATAGCCAGATCTACACCAATTAGTGTTCTGTAAATGTACTCCATTTTGTGGCACTTTAAATAATGCTAATGACTAATTCTCCTGCTCTTTTCAAATATCACTTGAAAACATCTCTTTTCCTCCTTAATCTCTCTCCCTGCGCTGTTATTTGACTCTGTTCCTGTATTATTCAACTCTACAGAGACTTGGGACACAGTGTGTATGAAAGACACTCTACAAAATAAAACTGTATTGTGCTGTACAGTAAAACATTTAAAAAGAAAAGAAAAAAAGTGTTCCATTGTCAATATCCATCATTCTTTGTTGTATTCTTGAACACATTCTAGCCTATAAGAAGCATTATAATAAACATGGTTATTTTAAACATTTCTATTTGCAAACTACTTGTGTCAGCTCAGAGAAACCAACCAACCAACTCAGATTTCTCCTCCTGGCAACCTTCTACATAATGTGCACTAGGTATTTAAAAAACCACACACACACACACACTACACACAGTGCTTTGTAACATGACATGTATTAAGGACATGTGCATACACACACACACACACGTTCATTTTCTATTGTCCTTTTTTCTGCTCATTTTGATTGATTTACTCATTTATCTAGCAAGCTGTCGGCTCGCATGGTGTCGGTGTTTCAAGATTCTAGCAAGAAGGAAAACTAGCTTTCTAATAATGGCTAAAATTTATAGTGCTTTGTATTTTTCAGCTTCAAAAAACACCGATGAGCATTTTCTAACTAATCCTCATATACCTGTGCAATGCAAGGTCAGTATTATCCTCATTTTACACGTTGGCAAACTAAGATGTGTGCCGGGGCACACAGTGAGTCAGTGTCAGAATGAGGATTAAAAACTCGGGAATTCTTGTCTTCTAGTCCTGTGTGCAGCCCAATACACTAACTAGATGTTCAAAAGCCTCTAAAATTTCAGCACTGGAATGCCTTGCCAGATCGCCAAAGACTGGCTGTGAAATCCAGTGCCTAACACTACTGTTCCATCTTTCTTAATAATGCCATATTCAGTGACCAGAAAGGAAACCTTAGAATTAACATGATGAACACTCGGAGTCAACTTACAAAATGAGATGCAATAGTGCAGTCCTCTTCCTCATGCTGGAAACCAATATTTTGATTAAACATTTTTGAAGCTATTGTTGAAATTATTGCAGATTTTATGAAGAGAAATGAAGGACAGTGCCTTTGAAAGAGCAACTTTTGGTAGCTCCAGCCAACAAGATCCAAGTGGAGATCTTTGCCTTGTATGCTTTTGATAACCATCTGCCTCTTGCTCAAGCAACAGAGTACTTGAAATAAATAGCCCATATTGACTCTCTCCTCCATCAAATTATGATGATGATTAGGAAATTATTATGATTTTCACAGCCTCTTTCATATCAGTGGATCCAATCAAAGCAAAATGATTTCTGGGGAAAATTCCTCTTGAAACAATGTTGGCTGGGCAAGACCAAGTCTCAACCCTAATTACACATTTGTAAATAAAAACATTTATTGCATACCTTTGCCACTGAAGGATTTTAAACTTGAAAAGTGTTTTGGCCAATTTAATCATCACTGTGTCTTTTTAAGAGAAGTAATTAAACAAATGAATTAGGAACAGAATGATTGTGCCAACCCGTGTAATGAAGAGATGGTCATCCTGGGTGAGATTTTTCAAAAGGCAGATAGGGTAGCCAGCTGCCACTGAAAGTCTCTGGAAGTTGGGAACCTAGCTCCTATTTGTGCCTTTGAAACTCTCCCCCTCTTACAATGCTGAATTTTACAGACATTTCACAAATCTCCAAGTGATTTTAATGAAAGCGAATATGAAAATGGATTTTAAAAACACCGCCATGGTCTTTCCCAAACTATTTGTGCATCACATCAAATTGTAATAAACCCGTAGTCTGCAATTTAAAGACATCATGGTCACTACCTGAGCTAGAACCCAAGTTCTTTGGCTCCAAATATATAGGCCTCTACCACCTGAGCTGCAGATTATCCATGAGACATCAGCAACAGAGGCAAGAGCTCCTCTGTGGGCTAGCCAATACAGGACAACAGTCGAACACATTGAGTGAGATGCTTCTTAGGAGTCATCCCATGGGGACTTCATGACTGCACATTATAAAGTGAGAGTACAATAATAACTAATTTAAGAGTTAAGAAATTATTAAACTTCCGTTTGTTCAAATTTTCCTACTCTGTAATGTATACAGAACTCCCCAGATTCCTTCCCCCACAAACGACATGAACAAAACCAAATACGCCAAAGATATATATAATAATCAACTTAACGGAAGCCTAAATGTGTCAATGCTTGTAATATCACCAGCTCCTTTGTTATAATATGCAGGGTTTGCAGGATTGAGTCCCTCTTAGTTTTATTATATTACTGAATTTGCTACCTCAATCTTAATATAAACAAATAGTTCATTTCTCTGTTTAGTTTCTAATAATTATTTCTATGTTCCTTGTTTTTCTTGCTTTGATAGCATACAGGTTAAAGTGTATCAATCCTAAACTTGCCCATGCTCTTGTTCTAAAAGAACAAAAAATAAGTTTAAAAAGTTAACCCTTTTCCAGATGAAGCGAGTTATAGGATGTTAATCTTCATACCATTTAAATGATTCAAAACAAAATTATCTGTAATTCCAGACATGTGACAATTAAAGGAGAATTACATTGCAGTTGTTTAATGACAAAATGCTCTTTAAACAAAAATTGAGGCTTTCCCTTCAAGGTTTTTTTGTTTTGTTTTAAACTGTTCCTCCTCCTTTTAGAATAGTAAGTGACCTAGTGCTAAGGAGAAGATAGAGAAGAAAGTGAAACTTCTAAGCCTAGTTTTATTTTCCAAACCAAAGAGCAAAAATCAAAATGGGTAACAGGTAAATTTTATTTTCAAAAATTATTTCCATTTAACAATATTTAAAAAAAAATAGACTTTCATCCTGACAGTGTCCCATTAAATATATAACAGAGTTCAATTCTAGAGCTAGCAGCAATGAACAAGAATAGCCCATGGCCCTGCAAACACTTACACGGGAGAGTAATTTTATGTATGGCCCATGGAGGACAATGGTGACTCACACATGTGTTTGCAAGATCAGGGCCACAGTATAGGGATATGTAAAGATAACACAGAAGGGGAGCTGTAGCACAGTAGGAAGATCCTAAATCACTAGGATGCACCACAACTGCTAATGTACAGGGCCGGCTCCAGATTTTTTGCCGCCCCAAGCAGCGAAGCCAGGGGGGAAAAAAAGAATTTTGTGCTGCCCCAAAATTCCATTTCCATTGAGCACTTCCATTTTGTCTAAAGGGCAGTTTAGGCGAGGGGTGACTGTACTTTAAAGAATCATTGTGAGCAACTGGGTCTCACCGTGCACTGAGGTTGGCAGGTTGGCCTTCCTTGGGCAGCTATTTACAGTAACTCCTCACTTAACGGTGTAGTTATGTTCCTGAAAAATGTGACTTTAAGCGAAACGATGCTAAGCGAATCCAATTTCCCCATAAGATTTAATGTAAATGAGGGGGTTAGGTTCCAGGGAAATTTTTTTCACCAGACAAAAGATATATATAGATATACACACACACACACACACACACACTATAAGTTTTAAACAATTTAATACAGGTACACAGCGATGATGATTGTGAATCTGGGTTGAGGTGGTGAAGTCAGAGGGTGGGATATTTCGCAGGGAATGCCTTACTGCTAAATGATGAACTAGGATTTGGCTGAGCCCTCAAGGGTTAATTGGTTGTTAATGTAGCCTCACTCTACAAGGCAGCAGGCATGGAGGGAGGGGAGAGAGCATAGCAGACAGAGACACACACCGTGTGTCTGAGAGCGAGAGATGCACATTTCCCCTTTAAGTAGCTGACCCCAGTCTTAAGTACACTGCCTTGTTAATTAGATCCGCTTGCTGAGACCACAGCTGCTGCCTGAAAGCTCCCTCCGTCCTGAACCCTGTCGTATGTACCCCCTGCTCTATGGAAATGGGGTAAGCGGGGTACAGGAGTGGGGGAAGGGGGGACACCCTGACATTAACCCTCCACTTTCCCCCTCCCCCACCCCCATACAGCAAGCAGGAGTCTCTGGGAACAACTCCAAGGCAGAGGGCAGGAGCAGCACATGGCAGTGCGGGAGGGACAGCTCAATGCCAGCAATTGCTAGCCTGCTGGGCAGCTTCAGCACAGGGAACTTAGGGGAGCTGATAGTCCACCCTGATTACAAGCCCCCACCAGCTAGCTCCAATGGGCTGCTCTTCCTGCAAGCAGTGGACAAAGCAGGCGGCTGCCAAGCGACATTAGAAGGGAGCATTGCACAACTTTAAACGAGCATGTTCCCTAACTTGATCAGCAACGTAACAATGAAACAATGTTAACCGGGATGACTTTAAGTGAGGAGTTATTGTATTCTGAATGGAGTATTCCTCCCCTCTTTAAGTTATTGCAACATAGTAAATATTTATAATTGTGCATATGTTTTCTATTTTTAGTTTATAAAGGTAATGTTTCCCAAAAAAGCTATTGGAAATCCAGTGGCAGATGGGCAATCCACATTTTAAAAAAAGAGCATAGTCATACAGTTAAAATATTGTTTAGTAAAGAAAATGATATTCAGGAACAATTTAATAAGACTGGATAACATGTTAAATTATGGGTTCCAAACACACATTTAAAAATATTTATTGCACATTAAGTGCCAATAAGTTACATAAAATGTTGAGGTATAACGGACATGTAGTATGGTATATAAACTAGTTATACCTCATTAAATGTCACTTCATCAATACTTTTTTAATGAATATACACATCATTGTATAAGCACAGTCAAATTAATGGTAACTTTAAAATCAGTTTGGTAACTTAGTTTAAATTGTTTTAAGGGTGGACTGGAGGTTAGAAGTTATCTGTTCTAATATTGGCAGAACACAGAGCAGCTGTTTAAATATCTTATCAGCCCATAAACCTATTACACAGAGAGGTGAGAAGTAGACAAGGCACAAATCTCTTCTCTGGAGGAACTATCACTGCCATTCTTATTAACCTCCTATACACTGTAGTAATAATTGTATCGTTAAATTTATTAATCTTATTTGGGTTATTGCTGATAATGTACTGTACATATTGTATTACTTTTAAAACAACCTTTGTGCTTTTGAATCATTTAAGCACTATACCCAGATGTACAGACACTCTTTTCTTAACCTATGTATTATATAATTTTAACATTAGCTTTAATAAAAATTTTAAATTTGTATGAAAGCTTCAAAACAATGCAAACAAAATGGAACTGTTGAAAGGAATCATCTACATGGCAGAAATCACAATGGGCTGGTGGCACTTTTATTGTTATCACGCAAGATGAAAATCAGCTGTTGTCTTGTTCTCACTACATTTCTATAGGTTTAAAGGCCAAATTCTGCCTTCAGATGTAAATGTGGATCACCCAATGAAATCTAAGCAGTGATGTACATACATCCAAAGGCACTTTTGGTTTTACTTTTTTTTAAATTAAAGCATTGATAAATAATAATTATTATTATTATTATGATACTTAGTTTTTATATAACCCTTTTCAACCTTAGAGCTCAAAGCACTTTATTTAAAGTTTAAGTTCTTTAACTTCAAATTTATAACACTTCACTATTTATTACCCCCCATGTATAGATGGGGAAACAGAGGCACTGAACAATTAACTGACTTGTCCAAGGTCACGCAGCAGATCAGTGACAGTGCCAGGAACAGGACTAGGTCTCAAGTCCAGTTCAGTGGAGCCACTGGACCACAATGTTTCTTCCAACACTAAAAAGAAATGAATGAAAAATCTAGCCATTATATTGGTGACCCAACTTGCAACTTGAGTAAGGGTTGTTTTTTTAGGCTAAAAATTAATTTACAGAAAGATGAGAGTTATGTGCTTATCCCTCACTCACACAATTTCCAAAATATATCAGCGATGTTTTTTAACCAGTTCTGACAAGAAACTCAGTTCTCTACAATACATAGAGGAAGACACCATGACTGCCTCAGGGGCTTACAAGCTATGAGAGATAGAGAATACTGTTAAGATACATAATACACAACTGATCTGCTGATGATTCAATTTCATAATGTTGCAGGGTTTTGGGGTTGATTTTTGTTTGGCTGGGTTTTCTGTTAAATGGTTGGAGATTTTGATGGTTCATCACCAAAGGGCTTAGCTGCTAAAGTGAAGGACTGAACGAAGAGCTGGTGCAAAAGAGGAGAGACACCATTCATGCACATGGGACAGTGTTTTTAAAAAAAAAAAAAAAAAAAGGACAGAAAATGAAGTGTGGGAGAGGAATGCACATTCTATACAATGTACTTTTTCCCCTTTAGTGTCAATGAATCCCTTACCAGTTCTGAAGAGTCTTCAATCCTAACCATGTCATACACAGTAATATCAGATCATCACAAGGGTTTCTAGCACTCCTGACACCATAGACTTAAACCTGTGGAATTCACTGACACTAGAGGCCAGAGTCAAATACTATGGCTGGATTATTTTTATTTGTAACTAATAAAAATATTTGTTTGATTACTACGTGAATTACAGTAGCACTTAGAGGCCCCAAGCACACAGTAAGAGGTTACACTCTGAATAGTTATGTACATTAAGATAAGGGCAATCAAATCTCAATGGTTTCTGTGGGATCATAAAAGAATTAAGTACCCTAAACCAAATGTACATTATACAGTAGGTTAGGCGCATGACCTGCAGTTTATACATCTTTCTCTGAAGCATCAGGTATAGCATGACATTTCTACTTGCAATATGGGCCTGATCCAAAGCCCACTGAAGTCAGTGCAAGTCCTTCCATTGACTTCAATAGCTTTTCGTCAGGCCCCATATTCTTTGGGATGAACCAACCATCTGATCTAACATGGCAAATCCTATCATTCTTTCCTCTATATTGAAGTTCAGCAGGAGTATAACTTTCTGTACAGTGCTGTTGGAACCATAGCCTCCTTTTTCACTCTACCAAAATCGAATGCAGACTTTCTGAAAAAGTTCACACCCAAGACACTCCCTTGATTGATTCTATTTCCCCCTTATTTTTGTGTTCTGAATGCAGCTTTATTCAAGGCACTGGTATGCAATAAGGTTTTTTTATTATTGAATGCAAGTATTTCTCTCTCACAAATACACACAAATAAGCCCCCAAAATAAAGGACAGTATGAAAGAGGAAGTGTTATTTAAACAATAAAATATGACGGGGGAGATGCTGGCATGCATTTTGAGGCAGAATGCAGAAAGCGGAGTGACTTCACTGCCATTAGTACGGTATTATTACCATCACCTCACTTTGACTTCCTGCTATTTTAAAACGGTAACTTGTAAATGTTCTTCATACAACACTTAGACAGTTTGCAAAATTCCAAACCATGCCGAAGCCCTCTCACTGGCTTAACATGTTGTTCTTGCTTTTCTGGATACTATTTTCTAACAGGTCTGCTTTACTAAGTGCAAATCTCAATGCACTTTTAGCTACGGAGTTGCTACTTGTGCATAAAGTATAACTATACACACACATACGTGCCTACAAATACACACATACAACTGCATATTTAAGGGACACAAACACCCCTATATCTGTTTATATACATACAGACGCTTTCATACAATGATTTCGCTTAGGATGAACAAAGCTTCACGGAAATCAGCTTTCACCACACCGAACAATGGTCAGAGTGTATAAAAACTGAGCTCGCTTTTACTATCTGATAATTATATTCAGGGGCCTTGCTTTAAAGGTCTATGTACCTTCTAGAAGAAACTTTAATATGCATAAAAACATGGTCTATAGTTATAAAAAAGATTACACAACTAGCCTTTAGGGTCTCAGGCACTATATGTTCTCATACTGAACACACTCACTGATCTTTATCACCTCCCCGACATCACGTGAAAGTGTCACTGCAAGTATTACTCTGTGAGCCCCATGGATTACTGTATTCTGCTATCAGATACCTAGCACTGTACCCTCTCGTGTTTACCCAGTTAGTCCAGCAAAGATATGGACAGAGCAACATGCCACAGCAGCAGAGCCCATAACTGATGCATCATCAGTAGGGCCCACTACACTACTTGCGTGTTAGAAAAAGCATGGGCATGAGATGGCAATGGAGTTAGTTTTTGTGGGTTTCTTTCAAAGGGAAGGCTACAGCCAACTGGCCTCTGCATTACCATTATCAGGGTTGGTAAACATCCTACTTGCACTGGAGACGGTCTTCCCGATGTCAGCCAGAGAGCGTAGGTTGGATTTCTTGGTCTGGTGCCGGTGCTTCCTGAGCAGCGTGTAGGTGACCTTGTCCTTCATGTCTAGTTTCAACAGGCCCGTCTCAATTTGATTGTCAACAACCATCTCTGTTACAAAAAGAAATAAGGGAATGGAGAGGGGAGAAAAATCACAAAGAGCAAAGTTATTTAAACAATTATTAGCCTGCTAGCTTCAGCTAAGTGCCTGGTTTCTTGAGTTCAACCTACTTGTTCCAGGGCTTTCCCCCTTCTCCCAACATTTTTTCTCTTTAATAACGTGATTTTTTTCATGTTTAAAAGTAGGTTTCCCTTTTAAGAATTTCTTTTGAAACAAAACGTAAGTATGTTTGTCTTCCAAAAATCACCAGCCCTGTTCCAGGAGGCCCCTAAAAGAAACACTGGTATCATACCAATATAAGACTAGATCCCACAACACTCACACTAGTAATTCATTGACTTCAGAGGGAAGGACTGCTCTCTGTCATCCAGAAAGGGAAAGAATCTGCTACACAAAATGAAAAATGCTCATGGATACCTACTGTCATCAAGATGCTACAGCAACACCACAGGTGAAATTCTGACTCCAACGTCTATTGACTTCAATAGGGCCAAAATTTCACTCCAGAGGTTTCCAGCTAAATGCAATTTAACAAGAACTATGGAGTAAAATTCCTGGGAATGACTGAACAATTAAACTACAGCTTACCCCTACATCCACAGTAAATTAACATCAACTACATGAGGTAGAACTCACTCTCAACTCTATGATCCCTAAAGAGATTCTCTTATAAATAATATGAACTTGGGAAAGTCATCCAAAGGCAAATATTCCAGGATTTATGGGGTCTCAAGTCCAAGAGCATTTTCTTTTTCTTGCTCTTTACTAAGACTCTTCCTGCAACCCCCAACCACTGCCTCACTCAAGTTATCTGCAGAAGGGAGCAGCACTGGAATTATCACCTCTGCTGACCATCAGTATTGTCAGTTCAGGCAAAAATGTATCGTTTTAACACCTGCATGTTTCTGCCTTAACTGAGTCTCCCTATAACTGCTTCCAGCCCCATTCTAAATCTTCCCCCTTCTCATCAACCCTCTCATTCTGTCCCTATATCAGGGAAATCCTTATAAAAACAAAAGAGATAGACACATTTACTGAGAATCTTAATTCCCCATCCACGTTACCCATTTTATTAATTCAATGTTTTTGTTCCTGGAGGGAAGGTCTCAGCTCTTACTTTCACTTGTGCTAAATTAAAAAAAAACTTGTGGGAAGTTAGAAACACAATGGGCAAAAATTTGCCAACTCAATTAGTTCAGGGCATCAGTTTTCATATGCCAACCTAGAATTAATTCTTTTTCAAATCACTAAGAAAAAAGCCTAAAATTTCTACTCCAATTCACCTGAGCACGTGTGTGTGTTTGTGTTTACTTGCGTGTACATGTGCGCAGACAAAAGACATTTTGCAAAAAAGAGGCTTTGTGCATTTTTCCATTTAATTTTTACTGTTTGTATTCTATTTATTTAAACACCTGTGGAGAAGCTCAACTTTTCTTTCCCTGTCAATTTTATCTTTTTTTCCACTTGGCAAACTAACTCCTCTTCCCCACCTTCCATGCTCCTGATACAGTACAAAGCAAAAAATCTGTGAGTTTTACTTTCTTGTTTGTCGTCATCATCATTAATGAAGTCATCAGTGACTGAATAACTCCAGGAAAGGAGTTTGCAGTTAACTAGTTGGCCCTCTACTGCCTATCTGGCTTCTACAGCAGCAGAGCAAGAAATATGGTTATATCAGCCATAGCTATTAATTTTTGATTTAATTCATCAGTGATAAGAGCACAGATTTAAGGGGAAGAAAAGAATATTTAAGGCCACATTTTCAAAGCGGCCTCAACCAGCCCTCTAATTTTGAGTGATTAAAGTTTTGGGTCTCCAATTTTAGTGGCTGGCTTTCGGGTATTTTATCTCCAGTTTTTGCATACAAATTTCACAGTTATTATTTATGAATCAAAGACTGTGCTTGGTGCCGTATGAGATACGGACATAAAAGCAGCTATTTAACCCTATTCGCACACACAACTTGGGGTGCTTCAAAATTGTAAGCCTCATGTTAAAGGCAGCTTTTGTAAATCTGGCTCTTAGACTATAAAGGAATATGCCTCACTTGATGGTGACTTTATACCAGGACGCATTTGGACCCTAGCCTACGAGACAATATTTCACTGTTTTTATGTGGAGAACTTTCAGAAATTAATCAATTATGCTATTTTACTGATTCTAAAACCAAGTTATTGTTTATTTTAACTGTGCTTCCACCAGAGATTACTCTAACTAGCTTGTTTTCGCGGTTTCTCGTTTAATGAAAATTCTCATACATCAGTAAGAATATAGTATTTACAGCAGTCAGCAGAGGTCATGCAATACTATAGTTCTTTTCATACAAAAAGCATCTCGCCATAGTGCTCAAAAGACATCATCAGCTCTGTGGAGCCAATCCCCTCACTTCCCTTCAGTCCCCTCCATTGTAGGCACAGAGCACTCACACCATGGGCCAAGTCCTACCCCCTTTTACCACCCTATTCTGAAAACTGGCCCATCATATCAATTTTGGGTCTCGCCAGCTGTGTCAAAAATATGAGAAACATTCTCTATGAAGCAGTGATTGTGAAGTAGTCTTTTCTTAACAGATGTGAACTTGAAAGTTTTATGTTTCTGATGCTACACACAGCCTGTAGTATTCCCTTCACGCATACACAGAGAAGGCTGCTAATGCATAGCTGACTCGCTGTCTTAGGTCCTAGTGCACATGAACATAGCCCTGTTTGAAACGGAACTACACTGACGTGAACTAGAAACCTTTTAGTGCACGGCAGCAGGACCTATATGGGTCAGAGGACATGTTAAAGGCACACTACATTTCACAACCCTGTAGTCGAGATTGCGGCACCATGTTGACAAGCCCTTAGCTATTTTTAGCATTCCAATCACCTGAGTATCTAAATGTGAAATACAACGATAAGCATAACAATCAATGTGGAGGAGTCCCCTCATCCCTACCTATGCTCTGGTGCTACAACTTTATTTTCCTTCCTTCTCTTCTTTCCCTTCTTTTCTCATCCTCCTCCTACCTCCTGCTTTCCTGTTATTGCTAGTAGGGTTGCTAAGGTTGGTTTTGCACTGGGGTCTCCTCTGAAAAAGGATGGGCTATCTCATTTTAACCTCTTCCAGTAAGGTGCTCCACAACCTAAGACCCAGCATCACAAAAGCTCTGCCTCAGCTCTCAAAATGCCACTGCAGCATTTCTAATAGAGCTGGTTGAAATTTTTCAAATATTGGCATCAAAACAAAAAAGGGGGTGAGGGAAGGCTAATAAAATGTTTGCTTCCCCTTCTCTCCTCCACCCCCCAATTTTTCAACCAATTATAGAGCTGGGCACTTTTTTTTTACCTTTGAAATAAAATAAAAATAAAGCACAAGAAAAAAACATTCATGACACTTCTTCCTCTTACTTCCAACCCTGCACTCCTTTCTAGTTTCCGTGTCCTTCATGAACAAAGCCGTCTTGGAGGATCATGGATGATGAGGTAGATGTACCTATCTCATAGAACTGGAAGGGACTTTGAAAGGTCATCGAGTCCAGTCCCCTGCCTTCACTAGCAGGACCAATTACTGTCCCTGACAGTTTTTTGTTGTCTTTTTTTTGGCCCCAGATCCCCAAATGGCCCCCTCAAAGACTGAACTCACAACCCTGGGTTTAGCAGGCCAATGCTCAAACCACTGATGGTTGCCAGTGTAGCCTTAGCCTGGTCCACAACTATTGAACCCATAAGGTAACAGTACCCGAGGGGAGCACAGAGCTCTGGTCAGGTGCACTCTTGGTAACTATTCTTGTTTCAGAATCAGATTGCCATAGACTGTATCAATTTTTTTTCTATCATCAAAGATGACAATTCTGTGTATAAACAAGTGCAATTTATTTTGTTTTTTAATGGTTTATTATTTGCCAGCTGTGGCTGGACAAATAATTGTACATCATCAATGGCTCTTGTACATTGTTCTGTATGTGCACACAAGTTATTTATAAATATCAATTCTTATGTGGGGAGCACAGATAGCTTGCTCAGTGCTATCCACAACACAGAGGAAAACTGTTCCTGCCCTAAGAAGCTTACAATTGATGATCATGATCCTGCAGAAATGTACACATGCTTGACTTTATGCAGTGAGTAATCCCACTGAAGTCAATAGAGAAAATAAGCATTGAGCTGTTCTAATGGTAACAGGGCAAATGCACTGAAGTCAATGGGTCTTTGCATGATTAGTGTCTAAGGTAACACTTGACATTTGAAATTCCTCCCACGCAGCACCTAGTGTCAATCAAAATACAGTTGATACCTTCTTGCATGAATTAATTAAAATTAAATTGCGGAGAGGGTCTATATGGCTTAGGGAAGTAGCATTGCCATACAGAGCCTGAAGCCAATCAGGACAGTAGCAAGTAAAAGCGGATACCAACTGATGATTATTTGGTGGCCTATAGTCTGGTGATCACAGTCCAGTTGCAAGGTGAGCTTAGAATGGGGGGTGCTCCTTAGTTTAAAGGGCATTCCTCATTTATGTCTAATGTCCCACATCAAGTCGATATAGTACTTGCTTTGGCTCCATTTTCAGCAATAATCAAACAAACTTACATATACCCATTATTCCTGCCATTTTTCAGATGAGCCTTATCTACACAGAGGAAAAGCCTGGAATAGCTAATGCAGAAGTGGATTAACCTTAAACCGCAAAAGGGCACCCCTAGTGCCGAATAAGAGTGTCCACAGAGGAGTTAGTGCGGAACACCTATTGCTCTTTAAATTCATACCCTAGCTATTTTGGACCAACTTCCCCTTGTAGACAAGCCCAGTTTCTTGGGGGTGGAAGGGTGCACGCTCAAAGTTTTGAGGAGAAATCTTTAAAGTTGTTTCAAGTTACAGGAAGCAGTTTGGGTTTGAAGATGACTTAGAGAAACAGTTTGTGCTTTTAACTGGGATTCCTGTAAGAACAAAGGTGTGGAAACAAAAGTGGGTTTCCGGGTGATAAGGGATCGGGCTAAGGAATTTCCCTCAGTCAAGAAGAGATAATAAGCACATGCTTTTAACTAAGAGTAAATCCAGAGTACAGGGAAGTTAAAAATTGATATTAAAGCAACCTGGCGAAGAATTTAGCCCTGGCTTGGAGCTCAGGCAGAAGAGGCGGCTGGGGAAATTTACTGATGTTGCCAGTTACATCTTTTTAGATAAAATCATGCTGCCATTTATTTTTTGTTTTATAGGAAGGAGTTGGGGAACGTGCTTTTTAGACAGATATAGGTCACTGGTTTGAGTCACAAACATATCACTCAAGGGTATTCCCCGCCCCCCTCCCCTCCCCCCCCGCAACAATGAGAAAAAGGAATCTTAGAGAATCCACAGAGCAGAGGAGAGCTCAGAAGTCCTCAAACAAGTACCAACACTATCAGCAAATAGGTAAAACTGAACCACTAAGACTATGCTCAGTTCTGCTGTTACAAAGTGAGATCCAATCTATGAATTCGTTAATGCCACAAAGCAAAAAGCCCTTGATGAGGGTTTAACTAACACAGACTGTAACTGCTGCGCTCTTGTAGCTGGTATTAGTGACGTGCTTGAATATCACCTTGGATGTGGAAACTATTTCTCTGTTATTCTGTTGCACCATGAATTAATAACAAACAGAAAGAGAAATACCAATTCACAGGGTAATTATAAAAGGAATTCAGTTTCTCTCATTAAATGTGTCTATAGTTTTTCCCTTAAACAAGTAGAGGGTAAATATTTTCAAAGATTAAATTGCAGTGTTGCCCACTAATTATATTTGCTGTTTTTCTTCAAGCCTCAGCTCCTGGAGCCATGTCATTAAGTGAGAGATTTAATAATAATAATAAAAAAAAATCTACTCATGGTTACAGAGAAAGTCTTGGAAATGTGAACCCTACAGGCTCAAAAAGGTGAAAGAAAATAAAAATAACCTAAGATTTCTTATTTTTTAAAATCTCATTTTTCAAATCAATCCCATGATATTCTGAGGACAAACTCATGCTTAGCCCTGGAACAACTCTACCCTGAAGTCGCTATAGTAGTTTTAGAGGCAAGTAGAGTGAGTCCCTCAAAGAGGAACTGTGGAATGTAGCACTCAGCATTAGCCGAATTCTGTCGTCAATGGTACTATTACCAGTGAGTTCATTGGGAGCAAAGATAGACCAACACTGAGCGTTTTTGCAAAGCCCAACATGTAAAGTCTGACAGCAGTGGAGTGTGCATCCCCCTTCATGCACAGAACAGTGACAACACCGGTAGCAGTGATGCAAGCTACCCCGCATTGCTCTAACGTGCCTGAACCCTGACTGGGACCAATCACCTCTAGGAGCAAGAGAATAAGTCACTCTCCATTCTCATCCACTGCTCCACTTCTCAGGCGAGATGGCCAACAGACGTGCTCGTTCATGGCAAATGTAACGGTGGTTCCTATGACATGGACATCTATTCACTCAGGGCTGGACTGAAAGCACCAATCGTTTTGCATAGGCTACTGAAGAGCCATTGAATGGCAATAGCTTTCAATCACAACCAAGCAGGGCTGTATGCTACAGGTGAAGGACTTTGTATCTTCCAAGCCACCCAGCCCAAGCTACTCCTGTCATTCCAGAAAGCCTGGCACATGGGTTGGCAAGGAAGCCAACAAGCTCATTCCTTCACTTTCACTGACAGCCATTATTCAGGCTCTGAGGAAGAGAGCATGGGGGGGGGGGGAAGGATTATTGAAAGAGCCTCCATGGAAGTTTACTTACCCACTACCTGAGGGAGAGAAGTGGCCTCTAAATCCAGCAGGATGGATCCTTTCTCTATACACGTCCTCAGTTCGAACAAGCTGTGCAGGGACAACGTCGCGACATGAGGCTTGCTCCATCTCTCTCCGCCCTGTTCCACTTTCTCTTCAAACTTTATCCACCTATGGAAGGGCAGAGCAGCAAGAATAAAGTTAAAAATGCTGTCTCTGGCATTTCTGAAAGAGGCAAAACCAGCCAGATGGTCACAGGGTGTTGCCAGGTTTAAATGTACATGAGGTCATGGACACGTCACTCTAAATTAAGACAAAGGAAATGAAACACGACAACTATACCAATGCCACCCACTATTTGAACAGGTCAAAGGTTTGCAAGTTAGCCACCTAATCCATAGTGGGCCACCTAGGTTAAAGTGACTTGATTTTCAGAGGTGCTGACTCCCCAAAGGACAATGGATTATCAAAACCTCTGGAAATAAGATCACTTTCATTTAGGTGCACCTAAAACACCTAAGTTTGAAAATGTTGGCCACGGTTTTTAAAAGGTACCAGGTAAGCTGTGACAAGCAGAAAAGTAAAACGACTGAAATATATCAGAGAGAAATTACAAAATGGATCTTAGTTCACGGATTTTTATTTTTCTTACACTTGGTCACACTTTGAACATAAGAGGGGAATAGCCAATAAAGTAAATAAATAAATAAATACCGCCCAGCTCTTATATAGTGCTTTTTATCCATAGACATCAAAACACTTTACAAAGGAGGAAACTGAGGCACAAAGAGGTGAAGTGATGTGTCCAAGGTTACACAGCAGCTCTGTTGGCAGAATTGGGATTAACACCCAGGTCTCTTAATTCCCAGTTTGGAGTCTGTCCATTGGGTCAAGAAACACAGAACCTCCACTTTACATTCTCTCTGGCACATTATTGTTCACTATATAGTATGTGAAAGACAACCATGTACAGTCAATTTTAAACTTATAAATAAAGACGACAGTTCTTTGTCAAAAAACTCAATAGCTTGCCTGAAACATCCAAAATCAAAATGGGGAGTGGGGGGAAATCAGCTTTCATGAAGCCTTTCTTAATTGAAAAAAAAAGTTATTAGTTTTCTACATTCTGTATCTAGTTGTTTAATGATTCAATGACATTTTCCTGGAAAAAAAACAAAACCTGCAAGCTCATCTCTCTAGTAGAAGATTAGAGCAAAGGTTAAATACCATTGCATGTAAAACATTATTTACACACCTAAAACCATGCCACCAGGTTAAAACATTAAAGTATCAGGCCTAAACCTTCAAAAGCAAAGAAACTAAAATATCTTCAATTCTCGCTATTGTGCCTAAGTATAGCAGATCATACAGGAGTGTGACCTGCAGGCCAATACTTAATGCAGCCAACAGCCAGGTGGGTTCTTTCCTTCTCATACAACACAGGTAACAAAAGTTTTGCAAGTCAAATTCTGCCCTCAACAACCCCTGCCTAACCGCTGATGCGGTCAATTGGTTTGCACAGGTGTGACTGATTGGAACTTAGTAAACAATTCCAAGGAGGCATAAGAAGGAAAAAAATTCAGCTTTCTTCCTTAGTCATGTTAACTACTACAGTGCTAGCAAAAGAAAGGGAAACCGATAAAAACTAAATTTCTTTTTCTACAGAAAGCAGATGTGACTGATACACACAGGGAACCATGAGTAAGGAAGACATATTTTTACATAAATCGATTTTCAGAGTAGAAACATGCTTAATTTAAGCCATTCCTGGATATTATTTTAACAGATTTTGAAACTTTTAAAAAAACTACTTTTTACCCAAACAAAATGTTGACACTTTGGTCTGAAAGTACTCAAGGAGGACTGTTCAGTTTACAGAGGCTGGAATTTCCCAGTTTACTGAATTTTACCCTGCATGAACATAAAGTCTGCAAATTAAAACTGACATTTTTGTTGAAGGTGTGTAATTCACAATAAAGCACTTTCCCATGTTTGATTTGGATTTGGTTTTTATTTGTTTTTCTCCATATAATCTGCAATATTTAGCTTTGATAAAGTAAGCTTTAACTTATTTTTTATAAGTGTTTGAACTGTTAACTGCTATATTTAGTGCACTCCTAAAGCTCTACTGAATAGATTTTCCTGCAAATTCTGTTTCACAAACCAAACATTCTCCTAGGTGGAGACTTCCTGCAGTTCAAGCCAAGTCACATAGAAATCAATGGGAGCTTGAGCCTAGGTGCTTTTGAAAATCCCACTAAAAGCCTATCTGCATCTGTAGGCACCTAAATACCTATAAAAACCTGGTTCCCAGTCACTTCATTCTTAAATTCCCTTTGAATTCTTGAATGTCTACCACCTAATCTGGAAATTTATTTAGTTTAGCAATCTGTTCCAATTCCTCTTCTTTTGACACTTCAATCTCTGACAATGCCTTTTCTTTGATACCTGAAAACAGAGTAGGTCCAAGATAGGATGTTGTGTGTGATACCTGAGTGGTGAAGACTCATGCAAAGAAATCATTTAGCTTCTCCGCATATCGTTATTATTTCCTTTACTGCCTGGTAGTCCAGCAGACCAACCAAATCTCTCAGGCTTCTGATACATTTAAAGAATTTCTTGTTAGTTGTTATATTTTTTCACATTCCCTCATACCATAGAGCTCTTAATTTCCACCTGTTCACCTGGCTTTGCTTGCTGATGGTATGGAAGGATGAACAGAGATTAGCAGAAAAATTAAAACCTCAGCTAATCCAAATTTTAGTCAAATTTAGCTCTGATTCAGGGGCTGGGGCGACTCTAAAAATATTTTAATTTTACAAATAACTGTAGCCCCTAAATTGGAGGTTCAATAGTCCAGAGGGACAGGTAAGTTGCCTGGTTCAATTCAGTGCTTAGTCAGTGCTCATTACCTGTAGTTACTATGAGGAGAGCTAAAAATCACCAAGTTAAAGCCCCATCAGAGTAAAAAAAAAAAAATAACTGCAATTGAATGAGATTCAGGCCTAGTGTAACTCTTGTAACTTAATCATTTAAATAATTCAGCCATCTCAGAATTGCTAATAATATTATAATCATTCAGTTGCATTCCCATAAGTAATGTCCTAGACAGGACCCGCTCTTCTTGGAATACCCCTGAAAAGCTTATTAGGGGTTATGAAGTGAATCCCTTGCATGCTGGAGCAGAATGCTGGGAGTTCAGTTAGCACTGAGCAGATACCCAGATAGCACAGATATGTTCACTACAGCTGCTATTTATGTACCTTGATACCAAGTCTCAAAAGACGAGACTAAAAGAAGCTCTCTCAGCTTGGGATACAAAACCCTCTTTTATTAAGAATAACCAAGGTCCCGATCTTCCAAGGCCCAAGCCAGAATTTATTTTAGGTGTCCAAATCATTTTTGATACATAACTTTGGAGGTCAAATGCAGGAAGTTGCATTTGCAGTTGGTTGAGCAAAGAGAACGTTCTCGGACAAGTGAAGAACTTTCAAGTGGATCAAAGGGGAGGAGATGTGTGTAAGTGCTACAGTACACCCTCGCTATAATGAACCCCAATAATATAATAATCCAAACCCTGTTCAGTATAACCAGGGGTTTGTTATAGCGGGGGGGAGGGAAACCGATCCTCCAGGGCCAGGAGAGCACTCTGCCCAACAATGGCCCCGGGCCAGAGGACCTGTCACCTCCCCACCCCGCAGCCTTGGGACTGGAGGAGATCTCAGCCCCCCACACGGTAGGCAGGGCTAGAGGTGGGATCCAGGGACCACATTTGCTAGAGTCTAAGGTTCGCTATTACGAAGGGTGTTATAGTGAGGGTCTACCGTACGTGTACCCATTAATATTTACTGTGGTGTGAATTCGGAATTGTGGAGTTTCCTGGGTATTTGAAGAGAGAACGTCTATAAAAGCAGCATAACAACAAATAGACTCAGGGCAAGAGGTTGCTAGCTTGATTATTTGAAATATTTTTCATCACCTCAATCCAGTTTTACTCCTGACCTCTACACACCTGGCTTCGCTGCGTTGGCTGCACTGCACTGAACTCCCATCCAATACCCAGTTTTGATCACTTTGACTAATTCAGAGCAAAAAAAAAAAAAAACACCACTCTTTAAAACCTCAGTTTATGCTTCCTGGGCCTCAACAATGTCCCAGATTTAGTAAAAGACGGTTACTCACCGTTGTAACTGTTGTTCTTCGAGATGTGTTGCTCATATCCATTCCATTAGGTGTGTGCGCGCCGCGTGCACGATC